TATATATATATATATATATATATATATATATATATAACAGATTCTTAAGTTCTAAGTGCCGCCAGAGAAATCATAAATACAGTGGGATTATGAGAGCGAACGGTGACCTCCAGTTTTGAGTAATCTGTCTACAGAGAACCGGCTGGTTACAAATACATAAATAGGTTTACACATCCCTACTGAACAATCTATTGAAGAAGGCCCCAGATTGCTGATAGGCATTAAGAATCAAGCATCCTACAACTCAGTGGATTTGACCGAATAAACTGCGCTGTAACTGATGGTACAATCTTGGTTGTGACAAACAAAAATGAGAGCGATACCGTGACCCGGTCATGTAAATCCTTTCCGCTGTGCTTTCTACTGACTCCTTTGTGTATTGTGATTTACACGCTAAAAAAAGAAGCCGTAGATGATCATTAACTTGAAAAGATGCAACAGACAAGCCAGTTATTGCACTCCTGAAAACCTCAATAAGACAACAGATGAAATAGGTGTTTCTGGTCGTGTGTTGGTAGTACATTGCACTGTATGAGTATGCACGTTGACATTTTAGCAAGGCATTTTGTTAGCTGGGGCGAGAAACCACAGCCTACCCGGCCATGCGCAGGAATAATGGGACATGACCTGAAGGATTAGTCGCTCCACCGGTTCGTAAACCCTAATGTGCTACGTGCACACGCTCCAACAAAAAAGAACGACCTAGGTTTAACGAGAAACCTGCTCTTATAGTCATATCGGTTCAAATTTGTCCATTAAATACAGTGGTCCCTTCGATGATGGCTGTCCCCCTTCACCCTTGAGGATGGGATCAAATAAAACCCTAGTTTTATATAACTGAATGGTTTTCTGGTAGAGTGGCTAGTTATCGAAATCTGATACACATACACGCCTTTGTTTGAGCCGACTTGAAGTGGTAATAAACATGAGATACTACGAGAAGCCGAAACGCCTATTCCTCCAGAACAAAGCTCCAGGTTACAACTCGTTATTCACTGTAGCACATGCAGGTCATTTCATTGCCAGGTGAGTCAGGTTGTTGAGCTCATTAATCACCATCAAAAGTATGCACTGGACGTAAGTAATTGAGCTAAACTCCGCAGCCGAATCGGGGTAGTGGCGTCAAAGTTGCCAAGATTTTCTGATCAGTTTGAGGGTTTTCGTAATTGTTCATCAGCCGTTGGTAATATGCCATACAACCGTGGAGAAACAACACATCAACAAAGGACCAAAAGGAAAATTGTGGAGACTTGGTGAAGACAGCCATGCATCCACAGGGGGAGAACGAAGTATCTCCACCTTAGAACAGCAACGAGACAGGAGGCACTGCTCAAGCACTGGACGTTATACAAACATAGGGTTAATACATCCTCCATTTCATCGAAATCCTGCTTGACACTACCAAACATGTGTCTCATGTGTCAGAGTTGGGCATCAGGGCATAAAGAGACTATCATACTGCGAAAGGCGTAAGATGTATACCTTTTTGACTGGTGCGGTCGCTTCGGGTAAGGGTACGATGAGTAACTTACCCAGCTGCCAATATGCTCAAACAAGTTGTCAAAGCAGAACGCAGAAACTCATCAATATCTTTGACTACTTTTAGTGGAAGCTCGTTAATGACGGTAGTCTGATGGTGTTTCATGGCATAATAATACTTCATAAACTACCGGGCGCGAGCGGTGGCGGGCATCGATCACTTTTACGGGTGCCTGACCTACGTGTCTAGAGCTAGACTCCATGGAAGTGATTAATAAGTGGAACAGGAGGAGTGTCAAGAGACAACAATGAAAAAAGGTAGGAGCTGTAAGCAGTCGAATGTTTTCGTTTATTCGCCCAATGTGTGCAACGACGACTACTGTTGCCAGGTAATAGTTGAAGCTGCACGGGAGTGCTCCTAATCGTGTATTGCAAGGTTGCATTTTGGCTAAACTACTCCTAACACTACCGAAACAAAGGACCACGAGACTGTTTTTGGACATATATCCAGTGGCCAAACCGGTAGGAGAAACTGTAGATGCCGAGTTCGCATCTTCCAGTATGGCTCAACGGCAGCACGTCGATAAGTCCTAAGTCATTTACGACGGAGCAGTGAAAAGGTCACTTACAAATTTCTCTTCCGTTAAAAACCTCTCTCCCTTTGATCCGAGGATGTAGAATCAGGCTTAACTAAGATGGATCAGCTTCCCTAATCCCCGAAGCGGATGTATTGGCGATCTGTCTCAATAATAACTGTAGACAGCGTCTCCGCGGTAGAAGCTGTGATATGTAATATCAAGGGAGGGTAAGGATTCATTTCGCTACCTTTAGTCTTTATTTGACCGCTCAACTGACTGTACAATCAACTGTGATCTGACATGTCAGTTCTGTAGACCAGCCAAGTATATTATCCATAAACAATGTGCCACCGGAATTCGTCATTTTGCTGCCTCTTGTGTAAATGGAATAGGAGTTACCCGAAGTCGACAAAGCAGTGAATCACTCGAAAAGCCATAGATTAGGGATATGGGTGAATGAAGGACTGCAACATCATCACGCCGGTAAATGCCTCTAGTCATTGATAGAAGAGACCTCCGATACCCAAGCCTCGGATACGGCATGAACTAGCACGGCCCATATCGATTATAAAAACTTGGTGTGTGAAGCTGACAACACCAGTCTTTTGTATAGAGTAACATAATCAATAGACTCAATATGCCCATGCATGTAAGCACTACCATTAGGTAAAAAATATTGTCAGACATAAAACTGCACCCAGTACACAAATAAATAAACCTATTGAAGGACGGCCAGAGTGACCACACTGCACACATGATGTATATTAGGTACACTCAGCAAAATAGTATTAAGTGACAACTGGAATCACGTGTTACACACAGATTCGCTTGCCGGCTCCATTAAGTTGGAAGCCGCCCTCAACTTAGCGATGCAACGGAAAATAGTGTGATACTTATGAGTTTAGTTCAGAACATAGAGCAAACCAAAAACAAAAATGTTTGAGACAAAAAGGGAAGAAAAGCTGTACACACCTTGATTCCATAAACTGCCCTCCGAGCTATATCCTCCGCGTCCTTTTGCACAAATAATCGCAAAAAGCTCTCACAGTTCGTCACTGACGACGAGATCTGCTTCAACTCAGAAGACCATTCATCTTCGTGCCGTGCTGGAATAATAATAATAACAATAATAATAATAATAATAATAATAATAATGCAAACTCAATGCTTCTAAAAATATACCGGCGTTAGAACGCAATGGTGCGGTAACCATACTAGTCGAAAATGTTTGCAAAGGGCGTGTAGTGACGACGATTCTTCCAAATCTCTTGGATAAAAAAAATGCTAATTCGGGTATTAGGCCAGCCACGGTTTCAAACATAATTACGCCGTCTAAGAGTATGCATGAACTCGCAAGTGAATGTAGCAGCGAAAGGAATGCTTCGCGATCACAACAGCAACTGACTTTTTCAAGTTGCGTCAAAAGCAGTTGCGACAATCTCGGAGAGTAAATGCGAAGCGCGGAAAAGTTTTCCAGATTTCAAAATTCGACTATCCAGATGCTGAAGTACCACAAGTTATTGTTGTCAGGACACTTGTCGGTAAAATGTACGCCATCATTTTTCTCCAACAAACGAAAAAAACGAAAGTCGTATAATTCGCATTTTCGAACACATCAGTCAGCAGGACGTTTTGGCAAACACTCTGAAGTGTGGAACTTTGTTGGCTGCCCCAAACCCGAATACGATTCCAGTGTTATCCCCGTTTTCAATGGGTCTGCAAGGATGATTTCAGATCAGCATTATCGCCTGGGACCTTGGTAATAGCAAAGCCAATTGGTAGTGACAAGCGAGAGTGGGACGACTGGATAGGCCTCCGTAAACAGCAGGCTATGCACTTTCAGGCTACTTACTACGGGGAAATTACTTCGAAACCGACTAATAAACGCGTACTGACCATTGCATCAAATCTAGTAACAACGAAAGGCAAATCAGAATCCATAGACATATGTATGGCCTCACTAGATACACGCCGAAAAGTAAAATCCTGGACATATTCGAGGTGTCACGGTTTATGCACATTAACCAATCAATCAAGTTACCAGCTATAAGCTATGTAACATAGCCACATTGGTTCCTGCTGACAGTTACGATTACCGGATAATGAGGGACCGTGAGACGTGAAGCCTAATCTTGGAGGCAATCGCATGTTTATCCACATCTATAGCCAAGTAAGCCACAACGGGGTGTATCATCTCACACCCTCAAATCCTCCCATACGAGGCCCGTCTGACAAACACAGTCTCCGCGTTGCGGGTTGGAACATGTGTGGTCACTAGCCCCCTAACAATGCAGGCTGCTCTAATTATCTTCGAACAACCACCTCCGCCGTGACGTTAACCTTTTTGAGCTAAAGGCTTCAGTTAGCGATCCTCCTGTCTGGGCCTGAGTGCCCTGACAGCATCCCGGCCCACATGCATCCACAAAGTGCACACCTAAATATAATCTCACGTGACATCAGACGTCGCAAGATGACACCAACCGGGTTGGCTTGCCTGCCGGGTACGGCGGTGCAAGTAAGCGAAAACACCGTACTGCTGTCACTTTCCTTCTTCATCGTTTACATACTAATTTTTCTTCCCGTCCTCACTCTGTTGCTAAGAACATCCCCCTAAGCCCATTCTCACACATAAATTTCGAAGGTTCGATTTGAGTTGGCCAATTCGCTTCATTTGTGGTGTCAAAAAGGCACATCGCTGGGTCTAAAAGGGTGTAAGAATACGATGGGGGCTGTATTGTTGTACGGGTGCGAGACTTGGCCATCGGGGATGAAGGATTAGACATTTTCGGGTCTTTTTTACGTATTACCAGAACCGCGCCTAGAATTGGCTGGACACAACGAGTCCAGAATGATGTGATCAGGAGACGGGGTCTTTGGAAAAGCGGACTGCAGTTCGCTCAAAGAGTCCGACCGACACTGGAAGATAAAGTTGCTAGGTCGTGTTACACATGGCAACTTACGGTCCCATTCGCATTGGCGGAAGCCTGAAGATAGACAGAATGTGACGCTGCAGAAGAGAATGACGGATGTTACGAAGGTCCCAAATTTTTTTGCCTTTCAGGATGAAGTCCACGTCGTTGGCTGGATATATTGAACCATATGATTGCCAGCCTATTTCAGTAGCGTTCATGCTGTCGTCTTCTATCCTGATTGCTTGATTGAGTGTTGGAGGTATAGGTACTTGTGGTGTTTTCAGTAGGCTAACCCTAGGTCCCCCTCACTGTGTTTATCCCATCTAACTTGTTCCATAGGTCCTCGAAACACCTCGTTAGTGAGACCATCAAGAATCACAATGGCTGTCTAGTATCCAGCAAGAAAGAACCTCTGAACGGTTTAGAAGAATGCTTTAATACTGAATCCAGTTGACCACCTGGTACCCATAGTTCGGGTGGCCGACCTTTGGCAGAAACGTGAAGTGAATATGGAACCCGCTCAACCCAAGGAGTACCCGAGTGTGTAACCCTACTCAAGCGTAATAGTGTAGCTTTCAACGTACGGCGAATTACCCAGCCAGTGTCTGTCTAACCTATATTCGTCTAGATGCAAAAAAGACTGTCCTAGACAAGGGGTTGAACCGGTAATGCCCATCTTGAAAAATGATACTAGCAATGAAATAAAACAATGTCTCAGCTGTAATGCATCTTCGGTGCCCAGCCAACATGCCACCCGAAGGGAGCACGAGGGTTGAAATACTGTCAGGTTACCCACACCTAGACAGAAGCAGCCGAGATGCCAGGGGTGGATTCGAACTACGAGCCTTCCCATCAGTAGGTTCTCACCCTGACCACTGAGACGTCTCAAGTTCAGGTCAACTTGCGTTCTACCAAAATTATTGTCACTGATTCTTCGCCTTACAGCTGTACGCGGGACCTTGATCGGCGAGTAACAGGCGAGATTCCTGCCGTGCAGCGACTGCGTCAGACGCATATTCACATCCCGCCATGTATTAAAACGATGCCATATGTGCAGGCACTCACATTCTTGGTGTTCTTTTACTTCACAGGTGCGTTCGCTTATGTCGACTGGCCAGTGCTTCAAACTACACTCGCTTAGCAGGGTTTCTCAGATGCTTGTGAACATAATCGCGTACCTCCTGCCGCGTGGGTGTATGGGGAGATGTCTAAATGCTTCCCTACAAAATGAGGTTTCCGGGAAGGATGTTTGCTCCCTATGTTTGTTTAGCTTCGTCGCCGACGAAATGTGGTGAAAGCTGGATGGTTTAGAAAGTCCAGACAGTTGTTGATGAGAACCTTGATAATCCGGAATACACTAACGATATCGTCCCAATATTTAAGTAGGAAAACGAAGTATGAGCAGTGTTGAATGAACTAATCACTATCTTGCGGCATGCGCCCTGCATCTACAAGGTGCAAATTCATGCAATGTCAGGGAAAAGCATTGGAGGCTGTGTAAAACTTTACATTTCTCAATCGACGTATTAGCTCGCACGGAAATCGTCTGATGACGTGAGTGCAAAATTCTTGGACGTCAGAATCAGGCCGCCACTTTGTGTCGTTTGCGGCTTCACTAGGTCTCAAGGGTCACGTGCCAGACTATAATGAGGGCCGTGTTGTTTTGTGGTTGCGAGATATGGCCTCTGCGGACAGAGGATGTCAAACTTTTTCAGGATTTTCACCACCGATGTCTCAAAAGCGTTGCTGGTCTCAGATGAGGTCAACGAATTCGTTAGCGCGTATTCGGATATATAGTAGGTACTTCAGTCACGGGAAGCATCCAGCGCCAACAACTGCGTGGAATATCAACATACTGCATTACCACGATCACTACCGACAGTAAACTGGTACTTCACTGCCGTAAAACCAGGTCAATTCATTTGAATGAAGCCTTATAACGAAAATAAGGAAAAAGAAGGACCTAGGGCTAGCCTACAGCAAACATCTCAGGTGCCTACACCTCCAACATTCAATCAAACAATCAGGATAGAAGACGACAGCTTGAACATTGCTGACATCGGTTGGAAGTCATGTCGTTCAATGTATCCAGCCGAGCACGCTGGAAGGCGAATAGCACACAGACCCTCCGTCACGAAAAGGCTGGCCGTTAGCATGGCGTGACAGCTAGTGTATCTTCGTGACCCGTTGAGTTATATTGGACAGTGTTCGTGCGACACTCACAGAGTCTCTCATACTAGGTTGGTCGATGATCAGAGGCCTGACCAACAAGGCCTCCTCAACTTCCAGGTTGGGGGATAGAACGTGTGGTGACCTATTCTATAAAAACTGAAATGCATTTGTCTCTCCCGCCAAACGACGCTGCCTTGCGGTCAGGATTTTGGGTCGAATGCCTTGGTCCCTAATTGTCCTCCTGGCTAGGTGTGGGCATCCTGGCATTGTCCAAACTCACGCACACCAATGAATCGTACACATACAAATAAACTCATACCACATGAGCCATCGCGTGGTCGCCTTTTATTGCTGCATACAGTAGGTTAGGTGGACGAAAATATGCTACTGCTGACGCCTCTCTTACACCGTCACGTTTTCCCTATTCTACCCTAACCAACCCTAAATTGAATGCTCTTTTCATAGATTTTAGCACCAGGACCATGGATCACCGCCATTCATCACAACCGACTGCAGCTTCTGAACGTCCGACTTGAGTAATAGCCATAAACACTTCGAAGTCTGTCTTCAAACCCTAAAAGCCTATCTACTTAGGCGCCTTTAATGTTCGCACACTGAAACGAGAAAGACATGTGACTCTTACTCGTACGCCGGAGTCCATTCACATGGCCGTATGCTGTTTGGCTGAAACAAGGATACAGGATATAAGTACTGTGATTGAATTGACTGTCCACTCGGTCTCTTCCCAGTTGCGGCTGCTCAACTCTGGTGATACAGAGGCCACTGCAGCTTGATATGCTGCGGTGCGCATTGCTCGGCGACCAAGCGGAAACGTCTCTACTTGACCGGATACCCGCTAAAAGTCGCCTCTTGTTTGGCAACGCCTGTGGGAGAAACTAGAGAATGCGAAGTCCATCGTATTGTTTGTTGTGTCTGCTTACACTCCGAATGACTAACTCTGAATCTGACATAGGCAGTCTCTATGAGAACCTAGGTGCTCTTTTAAAA